TATAAAATATCAAAATTTATGTTTTCTATTTTAAAATTTATTTCGTGTTGGAAAATGTACACATTAATTCATAACTTTATATATATGTAATTTAAAATTATGAGTTATGTTTTAATTTTTATGTTTCTGCAGTCACATTTGTAGACAGTATAGTATTTGAAACACTCCTTTTGTTATTAAGGAAAATGATTCATAGTGTTTTAAAAATATTTTATTTATACATCATTTGTGTTTCTGAGTCTGTGTTACTTCACTTAGTATAACAATTTCTATTTCCACCCATTTACCTGCAAAATTTCATGATTTCATCATTCTTTACTGCTGACATATGTTCTCCCTTATATGTGGATCCTAGCACCAAATCCTTATAAGTGAGTATGTATCCAGACATAATTATAGGAACCAGGATAATGAAAAGGAATCAGGGAGGTAAAGAAAAAGAAAGAACCTGAGAGAGAAGAACAGTAGGAAACAGGTATTACTAAGGGAGAAATAGATGAAAATGGGGTTATTTAAATGCGAGGGGGAGGGAGGGTTATACCAGTGTAGGAAACCAGGATGCCAGGCCCTAGGGTGAGATGAGCCTAAAACTTTAAAATGCAGGCTGCATTCTCTGCTAAAGGGAGGGGCACTGAAAACACTGGCTCTGATAATCCCTGCCTTTCAGAACACTGCTAGACTGGCAGGAGGAAGCGGCCTGGTCATAAGTGCAGGCTCCCCGCTCTGTGGGAAACCACCTTGGTCAACAACACTTAGCTCATCTCCTTGTCCTGAACAAATAACTCAGCTATCCTTGGCTGAGAGATTAGGCCAGGTTGAAGGTTTACTCTTGAGCTAAAAGCTAAAAGTTTACCATATTTTTAACTCTAAGAAAGAAAACATCGTGACCAATAAATTACTGGATGAGCATTGATAACTTTGAGTAAAAGCTGAAGCATCCTTCTGGTGCCAACTAACAGAATATATGTCCTGCTTCTTTGTACCCTAAATCTTTGTATGTGACTGCCATATCCCACATAACTGCCAGTTCCTTGGGGTGTATAAAAACCATCTGATGGGGTCTCGTTGGCCTCCTTGATGTAGAGGACAGGTGACCCACCACCATTATAGGACATTTTGAGAGATGCTCATAGTCCTCTGGAACTATTCGACCTAGGAGGGCAAGGAGACCCCACCAGATGGACTTGAACCAGTGTCCAGTCTATAAAGAGGAGGGTCAACACAGAGGAATCATTTCCTCTATGCTTCCAAGCAATGCCAACCATGGTCGAGCAGGACCTTTGACTTATCTTGACCCACCACCATTATAGGACATTTTGAGAGATGCTCATAGTCCTCTGGAACTATTCGACCTAGGAGGGCAAGGAGACCCCACCAGATGGACTTGAACCAGTGTCCAGTCTATAAAGAGGAGGGTCAACACAGAGGAATCATTTCCTCTATGCTTCCAAGCAATGCCAACCATGGTCGAGCAGGACCTTTGACTTATCTTCACGTAGGTTGAACTGGTAAAAGAAAGGAGCCAGGGCTCCTCCCAAGCCCATGTGACTCCTGAGGAACAGATCCTTAAATGACTTTAAGAGTAAAAATAAATCAGTTTATCTAGACCAACTGTGTGGCCTTAAACACCCAAAAGGAAAGTATAACCAAAGATTAAAAGGGCCAATATAATTTCATAAGAGACCATATGTACAGCTAAAGGCTACACAGCAAGCAACAATGCCAGACAGGCAATACCTCCTTCTGAGCTGTTGGCCAGGGTGGCCAAAGAGATTCCCAAATAGTAACCCAGCAGAGAGCTGGGAAATTGAACAGAAGACCCCAATCTTATCCAAAGGAATATTTACAACTGAATACTGCTAGATGAGGAACAGCTGACCTCCTAAAACAAAGGCCTCTAGATAGGCTGACTAGATTCACCAGAAGGACAAGTAGTGGGGAGTGGCTGGGGGTGCCGACAACACAGCAGACAGTAGCAGGGATATCAGGGTATAAGGGCTCTAGTTGGGGGAGGGAGGCTATGGGAGGGTGCTACCTGGAAAGTGGGTCTATAAAAAAAATTCTTCAAAACATAAAAATTTGCTCCTTAATAACTAGTAGATATGAAAAACACTACCATTGAAATCTACGTGATGACTTTACATCCATGCTTAGATGCTAAGGAGGTCAGAAAGTAACCGACTGTGACTAGTAATAATCAGATATATAGAGATTAGAAATGCATATGCATCTTAGTGTCAATTGTATTAAAAATGAATTTTTCTGTATGAAACTGTGTATTTTATTAATGAAATGGAGATATTTTTCAAAGTTTAAAACCTCATTTAATTTTATGTTTCATAGGGTTTATACGGAGAACAATACTGTATAACTGTAACAATTCAACTGTAAACCTAATAATTTATAGCCAATTTTGAAAGAGAAGCATCTTAGCTCTGGAAACTGTTATTGAATATGTCAATGCTGTTGTAATGAAATGCTTCTTCTAAGTATGTAGTTATTAAATAAATAATAAACTGAAAAAAATACCATCTAAACTTTGAAATAGATGCTTGTTGAAAAGACACAAGTCCCAGGGTCCAAGACTCTGTTGCTGATCAAGTCTCTGCCGAAGCCAGCTGGTCCCCCACTAAGCAAAGCAAACCCGAGTCCCAACATACCAGGAACCTTGGGGGTAAAGGGAAAGAAAGAGCTCAAGAGAGGTGGGACCATAGGCGACAGATATTTTTAAGGGAGAAATGGGGAAAATGGGAGTACTTTAATTGGGGAAACTATGGTGGAAGGGTTAGGCAATGAGAGAGGGAGAGAGAGAAAGAGAGAGAGAGAAAAAGAAAGAGAGAAAGAAAAAACAGTGCCTATCTAGTTTAAAAAGACCAGAGGGAACCATATTAATCCAACAACATACCGATAAATTATACATACATTATCTCTACATGAGTCCATGTGTATAGCTGGAGATTACATGGCAAGAAACAGTGTTAGACATGAGTTACCTTCCTTTGAGTTGTTGGCCAGGGTGGTCCAAGAGACTCCCAAAATTTACTCAGGCTATTGCCACAGCCCTTGATGGCCTCCCAGAACTTGAAGGTAAGATCCTACTGCCAAAGACAGAACATACTTTGGACACAGAATTTGGAACAATAGAGCTGCAACTAACCTGCAACCACTTCCCTCAAGGTTAGCTCTCACTGCTTTGGAAAGTGCTATGAAGGTGCCAAGGGAAAATATCAGGGGATAATCCAATACTAGGTTTAAGACCAAATAATGACATCAGTGGCATACACAGCATAAGTCATTGGTGCAGTAGTGGCACTCTTATCTTAGGGGCAATGAACAGCTACCTAATTTGACTAAACCCTCACTCAAAGGGAGGAAATTCAAGTATGGTAATGTAAATATAACCTAATACACATGGCTGGAGTGGCCATAGATCTTAGAGAAAACCCCAAGACTGTCATATCGCTAGACTAATGTGATTTCTTACTATGCGCAAAATATCTATCCTTATATTTACAGACAAATATCCCAGTCACCACTCATCAAAGAAGCTCATTTCACACCAATCAGAGACTGTTACAAGTACCACAACTGGTCATACATGGACATTGTCTATGAATTTCCCAGGCCAAAGTGACACATCTACAATGCAACCTCTAGACCTAAGGCTCATGAAATATAGAACAGGGATAATGAAGAGGACACTAATGAATCTCTCAGTTCTCAATAATGAAGCTTCCTCATGCATCAGAGGGCCAGGAACAAAAAAGATCACAAATAGCCAAAGTGTAGAGATCAAGAGTCTGATGAATGATGGTCCTTGGACAGGACCCGTTTATTAAATTTAACCAACCCAAAGCTCAGGGACCATTGTGGAAGAGGGGGTGGAAATGTTGTAAGAGTCAGAGAAGATGTTCATGACCATATGGAAATGGAGTCCTAGGACAAACTCCTGGGAACCTGCTCATATGATTCTACTGCAATGTTGTCAACATACACAAGTCCCATGCAAACTCAGGCAGACAATAATCCAGCGTAAAACTGGGAAAATGAACAATAGACCTCAGTCTTATCTGAAGGACTGTTGGCAACTGATTGCTGCTAGGTGAAGAGCTGATCTTCCTAAAACAAGGGACTCTAGAGAGGCTGACTAGACTTAGTGGTTGGACTTGCAGTGGGGAACAGCTGGGGACTCTGACCACCCAGTGGACCTGAAAGTGATGACCAAGTATATGGGCTCCAGTGGGGGGGGCTGTAGGGGGGTGCCAGTAGGGATGAGGGTATAAAGATGATTGAGAGTTTTTGAGCTGTTCTGTATGACATACATGAAAAATTTGATACAAAATTTATTAAAGTAAAAAATATTTTATTTATTATTTTTATTTTGTATATGATTGTATTGCTTGCATGTAGTTCTATACACCTGTGTCATGCAATGCCCAAGGAGGTCAGAAGAGGGACTTGGAGCCCCTGGAACTGGAATTATAGATGGTTGTTAGCTGCCATGTGGGTGGTGGGAATCAAACCCGGGTCCTCTACAAGAGCAGCCAGTGCTCTTAACTGCTGAGTCATCTCTCCAGTCCTGGATGCATAGCATTTTATATAGCACCACAACATTTATATACAGGTTAAGAATAGTGAATTTCTTCAATATTGTAAGTTCCTAAATAGTCATTAGCCTAACAATCCAGACTTTTGGAAAATTTTGTAATTTTCTAGCAAGAAGTAATTTTGTTTTTCTTTTCAATTATGGCTGCATATTAGAATAACATTCCCCCCCAATACCTAGGCTCCAACCCAGTACAATAAAAACACAATCTTCAAGGTAGGACCTGTAATAACAGAGAGCAAGGGTGAGCCACCCTATTTTACTTTCATTTCTATGTGTGAACAAAGTCCACTGGGAATAGAGATTTAAATATTGTCCCTGATTGGTTTGTTTTGAATCAGAAACAGGTGAAATAGCAGGGAACAGTAGGAGCTTTGAATTTCAAGCTCACAGCTGTCTCAGTAGGAGAAGGCTTCAATGGATCTAGGTGTGGTCCTGGGACTTGTCCTCTCATGTCTGCTCCTCCTTTCATTGTGGAGACAGAGCTCTCAGAGAAGAAAGCTCCCGCCTGGCCCCACTCCTCTCCCAATCATTGGAAATATTCTGCAGGTGGATCTTAAGAACATCAGCAAATCATTGAAGAATGTAAGTATATTTTTTGGCTTTGCCAGTGGCACTCAAAGGGAAATAAATTGACACTTGTTTAAGCAAAATAACTGATGGACATGTGCTACATTATGCATGATTGTAAATTTCTTCTCTAAACTTTTTGATGTTTCAGTTACATTTTCTTGTATGTCATGTCAGAGATCAGAGAATATATAATGTGATGTGGTTAGTGAAATATTAGGAGTTTAGTAGACTCAAAGTCACTGCCTGGGGATAGTTGTAAATGACTTTTCCTTTTGTAATAGCGGCTTGCTATGATTTTAGGCTGAAGGCAAAAAGGGAAGTGACATAGATATTCCCTTCATATATATTAGTCATGCATTTTATGGAGAGTAGCCAAGCAAATAGAATTTCTCTGAAGAAATCTACCTATGTCTCATGTCAAGGAAATGATCAATAGACTTGTGTCAATCAGGGACCAACAGTAAGTATTAGAAATATTTTGAATTCTGAAGAAACTTCCTCTGGTCAAGAATTGCTGCATGGTAGAGGAACTTGTTTTGATAGGAATGATGCATGTTCTGCCACCCTCTGTAGTTAGTGGTTTTATTTTTATTTTTATTTTTTTTGTGTGTGTATAATACCAGTTGACTCAGGCAACAGAACCATCTTGAAACGACTGGAAAAAAGAGATACTTGTATTCATCAAAGAGCTTCTGAATTAGGATCCTCACGAAAGTGTGTTCTAATAGCATTGGAGGCTCAGTAAGGGAAAGCTGTTTCTCTGACTGGTGTGCTAAGAAAAACATAAATTTATAATGATCATATCCATAATAATTGTGCATACTATGTAGAGAAAATACTGACTTGTCTTGCTGTATTTTTAATTACCTTTTCATTTTCCAGTTTTCAAAAGTCTATGGTCCAGTGTTTACTCTGTACTTGGGCCGGAGGCCTGCTGTGGTGCTGTATGGATATGAAGCTGTGAAGGAAGCCTTAATTGATCGAGGGGAGGAGTTTTCTGGAAGAGGAAGCTTCCCAGTATCAGAAAAATTTAAGAAAGGCCTTGGTGAGTGTATATGTGCTTATGTACATATGTGTGTTGAGCTGTTCCATGGGGAATATGAGGATGGAAAACTGTCTTGAAAACTTCCCCAGACACAGAGTGGCCTTCTATGTGGCAGCCCTTCTTCCTTGCCTGGATTTTCTTACTCTTTTCTGCTGTCTTTCTTTTAGGAATTGTTTTCAGCAATGGAAATAACTGGAAAGAGATGAGGCGCTTCTCACTCAAGACTCTGAGGAATTTTGGGATGGGGAAGAGGAGCATCGAGGACCGTGTTCAGGAGGAAGCCCGCTGCCTTCTGGAGGAGTTGAGGAAAACCAATGGTGAGTGTTGCTTTGTATCACTGATCGTGACAGACTCCGGTCTTCTGTAATGAGGTCTTTGGAAGAAATTCAGGGGTGGCCAGAACCTTCATTCTTAATTCTGGCTTAGACTTCATATGGAGATGGGTGATCTGTCACATAAAATAGAAGGAAACCTTGTGTCTCCATGGGTTTTGTGACTAGGCATGACTGTGCCTGCACTGAAGATTCTAAGACATCATCTAATGTTGAGCTTTTCTGACTTTTTTCTTCTGTTTTCAAATAAGACATTGACTTTATGAATATAGGTTTTGAGTTTATTTTTTGATGAGTTAGCATAAGTGTGTGCAACCTGCTCCACTTAAGGTCACCAGAGAACACTTGGTGTGTGAGTGTGGTGACATTGGCTGTGCCACACTTGACCATATGACATCTATTTCCTTTTAACTGGACAGCAAACACATCTCAGTTTGGATAGCAAATACATCTCAGTTTCTCTTTCAGGCCCACTATATGGTTCTGTCAGATATGTTGCCCTGTAATATTTTTAAAAATTATTTATTTAATAACCACATAATTAGAAGAAGCATTTCATTACAACAGCATTGTTATATTCAATAACAATTCCCAGAGTTAAGATGCATCTCTTTCAAAATTGGCTGTAAATTTTTAGGTTTATAGTTGAATTAATATAGTTATACAATATTGTTCTCAGTATAAACCCTATAAGACATAAAATTGAATGACGTTTTAACCTTTAAAAAGATCTCCATTTCATTATTAAAATATACCATTTCATTAAAAAAACCTCATTTTTAATGCAATTAACACTTAGATGTTTTCACATGCATCTCTAATCTCTATATATCCAATCATTACTAGTCACAGTCAGTTGTTTTCTGGGATTCTTGGAACCTAAGCATAGATATAATGTCATCAGGTAGATTTCAATGATAATGTTCTTCATATCTACTAATTAACATGAAGCAAATTTTATGCTTCTTCCTCAAATGTAACTCATTTTGTATTTATTGATTTTTTTGTGTATTTTATACAGAACATCCCAAACAATCTTATTAATCTATATACCCATATCTCAAGTGACACCCTTCAATGCCCCACCTACCCCCGCTGGAGCCTATGCATTCTGTCATTCCTGTTATTGTCCACTGTGTTGTCAGTGCCCCTAGCCGTTCCCCAGTGCTTGTCCATCCTCTGAGTCTAGTCAGCCTATCTATAGTTCCTTGTTTTAGGAAGATAAGCTCTTCTTCATCTAGCAGCAAGCTGTTGCCAATATTCCATTAGATAAGGTTGGGGTCTGCTGTTCATTTTCCCAGTTCTGTGCTGGTTTACTGTCTGGGGGTCTCTTGGGCCACCCTGCCCAACAACTCAAAGGAAGGTATCTCCTTTTCTGGCATTGTTTCTTGTTGTGTATTGCTAAAGGCTACATAAAGAATTATACTGATACCTTTAATATATGGTTATACTTTCCTTTTGACTGTTTAAGACCATGCAGTTGGCCCAGGTAAACCAATTTTTTACCTTTATGGTTGTTTGAGGATCTATTCCTCTGGGGTCACATGGGCTCAGGAGGAGCCCCTGGCTCTTTTCCTCTACCAGTTCCATCTATGTGAAGATAAGTAAAAGGTCCTGCTCAACCATTGATGGTTTCATTTGGAAGCATGGGGGAAATGTTTCCTCTGTGTTGACCCTCCTCCTTGTAGACTGGACACTGGTTCAAGTCCATCTGGTGGTGTCTCCATGGCCTCCTTTATCAAGAGGACATGTGACTCACCATAGTTAAAGGACATTTTGAGAGATGCTCCATAGTCCCCTGGAATTTAGTCGACCTTGGAGGGCAAGGAGCAAAGTCTGTCCTTTAAGTCCACCTGACCAGATTATATAGGCCTCAAAGTACCTCTGTTAAACATCTAAGAAGTTTAGTTCTACCAGTCTGGTACTTTTAATTACCATGTTCTGTGTAGATAAAGCTTGGGTAAAGACCAAAGGTTCTCAGATAAACATTGACTAGACATATATTATGTTCCTTGAGCTAGTTGTATGTATAATTTGTCAGTAGGTTGGTTTCCTTTGTTTTTTCTTTTTAAACTAGCTAGGCATTATGTATCTCTCACATTGTCTAACCCTTTCACCATGGTTTCCCCATTTAAAGTGACCCCATTTTTCCCATTTCTCCCTTAATAATACCTTTCTCCTATGGTCCCACCTCTCTTGAGCTCCTTCTTTCCCCTTATCCCCAATCCCCAAGGTTCCTTGTATAACCTTCCCTCCTCCCTCCCATTTAAATAACCCCATTTTTATCCACTTCGCCCTTAGGAACATCTGTTTCCTACTGTTCTTCTTTCGCAGGTTCTTTCTTTCCCTTTCCCTCCATGGTTCCTTTTCATTACCCTGGTTCCTACAGTTATGCCTGGATACATACTCACTTATAAGGATTTGGTGATAGGAGCCACATATGAGGGAAAGCATAACGTCATTTTGTTTCTGAGTTGGTGTTACTTCACTTAGTATAATAGTTTCTAGTTCCATCCATTTACCTCAAATATCATGATTTTGTCATTCTTTACCACTGAGTAGAACTCCATTGTATAAATTTACTATATTTTCATTATCTACATATCAACTGAGAGATCATCTTCAGGTTGCTTTAATTTCTTAATTATTGTGAAAAGAGCAGCAACAAACATGGATGTAAAAATATCTCTGCAGTAGGGTGAGTCCTTTTTACATGCAAAGGAGTGGTATAATAGAATCATACGATAGGTTAATTTTTAGATTTAAAGAGCTCTTAAAGAGTTCTCCACACTCCTTCTATAGGGGTTCAACAAGCTTGCAGCCCCACCAGCAGTGGATGAGCATTCCCCTTTCCCCACATCCTCTCCAACATTTGGTATCCTTTGTTTTCTTGATCTTAGCCATTGTGACTGTGGTAAAATGAAATCGTAAAGTGATTTTAATTTGCATTTCCCTAGTTACTAGTGGTGCTGAACACCTTTTAAGATGCTTCCTAGCCATCTTTAATTCTTCTTTTTAGAACTCTCTGTTCAGCTCCTTACCCCATCTTTTAATTGGGTTACTTCCTTTCTTGATTCTTTGTTTTTTTGAGTTCGTTATATATTCTGGATGTTAAACCTCTGTCAGATGTGTTGCTGGTGAGGATTTTCTCCCATTCTGTGGGTTTTCTCTCCACTTTTTTGGTTGCTTCTTTTGATGTACAGAAGCTGTTTAGTTTAATGAGGTCCCATTTTTTGATTCTTGACCTTGTTTCCTGAGCAATTAATATCTGGTTTAGAAAATATTTCTTACACCTATATCTTGTAGGTTATTACCAATGTATTCTTCTAACAGTTTCAGAGTTTCAGGCTTTACATTGAGGTCTTTGATACATTTGGAATTGACTTTTGTGCAAGGTGAAAGATAAGGGTTTAGTTTCATTCTTCTGCAGGTGGAGATCCAGTTTTGCCAGCACCGTTTTGCCTGTACTATTTGCTGAACATGTTCTTTCCTCCAGTGAATGTTCTTGGCTCCTTTGTCAAATATCAGGTGGCTGAAATTGAATGCACTCATATTTTGTTCCGTTGATCTATGGGTTTATTTCTATGCCAGTACCATGTTGTTTTTATGACTATACCCCTGTAATGCTGTTTAAAATCTGACACAGTAATCTCCCAGCATTGCTCTTAGTGCTCAGGATTGCTTTGGCTATATGAGGTCTTTTGTGCTTCCATATGAATCTTAGGATGGTTTTTTCCAATTCTGTGAAGAATGTCACAGGGATTTTGATTGGCATTGCATTGAATGAATAAATGGCTTTTGGTAGGATGTTCATTTTCACAATATTAATTCTTCCAATCCATGATCATGGGAGGTCCTTCCATCTTCCGATGTCCTCCTC